GAACTCGAGTAATAAAACAAGCTGATTTTGAGTCTCTTAATACTTGGCTTGAGTAGCTTGCAAGCCTAATCAAATTATTATTATTGTTGTTGTTGTTATTATTATTATTATTATTTTATATATACACACACAAAATAATTTAACTAATATATTTATATTTACATGTTATAAAATGCTATAACTGAGATATAATATTGAGTTTTGTTATAATATTTGGTTGTAAAATATTTAATATTATAATTTGTGTAAAAAATATAAATATAAAAATCGTTGTTTAGTATTCAAATCAAGTTTAAATAGCTTGAACTTGAGCTCAAAAATTAGAGTTCAGTCGAACTTGAGACAACCTCGAGTTTTGATTTTTTGAATCGAGCTGAATTTCAACCTTAGCTTTGACTATTCGAGCTCTGCTCAACTCAATTACACCATTAGTTGACAACTAATACTATTAGCGTGATTTAACCTAAATTTGTGTACTCGTTTAGTCGTTTCTAATTTGTACTTTTCTACCCCTAGTGTCCCAAAAATAAATAAATAAAATAATATAACAACCTAGCTATAAACTAAGTTTAATTCTTTATTGGCATTAGTTGAGGAATAACTTAATCATGAGTTGGTAAAGTCCCAATCTTCTATCCATTTCAACCAAGTAGGCTCTCAAGCACAATTTCAATTTCATATACTATAAATATATGCCTCACTTTGGTGCATCCCAAAACACATAACTAAAAATTGTAGCCAGCAATATAATGGGGGTTTCATGTTTTTTGTTGGCTTGCTTGTTTTTGCTATCTTTGGGGCTCATTCATGTGATCAATGGGCAGCCTCTAGTCCCTGCATTCATCTTGTTTGGGGACTCCATAGTTGACCAGGGCAACAACAACAATCTTGAAACCCTTGTCAAAGCTAACTTCCCTCCCTATGGAAGAGACTACCCCAAACACATACCAACTGGCAGGTTTTGCAATGGAAAGCTTGCCTCCGACTTTACTGGTATTCCGATGTTACTTTTGATCGCTCCATTTTTGTGATGTTACTATATATGATTACGTGACATGATTCCCGATTATTATTTTTTTTTTTCCACTATTAGTCTCTGGACTTTGAATTATTATTCAGTATTTCCATCAAGTTTAATTTTTAGTTAAGTACCACTTGAAAACTCGTCAAAAAACAATTAATTCATCATGTGATGAATGACCAGAAAACTTGCTAGAATGATTAAAAATTAATCAAAGTCAAAGAACTAGTAATGAAAATATGATAGAAAAATGAAAATGCAACAAAAGTCGAAGGGCTACAAGTGGAAATTCCCTATTAACGTTGACAATAGTGGTGTTGTGATAATATAGACTACTACCTTAAAAACCATCTCAAACATTAAAATTGTGTATGCATTGCAAGCCTGGTCTCCCAAAAAGGAAACTAATGAAAAGTATCATTCTCCTTTTTCTTTACCAAGTTCTTTAACTACTAACTTATAGTATACATTGCAATGCAGCTGAGAATCTGGGCTTCAATTCATCTCCACCAGCTTATCTAAGCCACGCAGCTAAAGGGAAACATCTCTTGATTGGAGCCAATTTTGCATCAGCTTCCTCTGGTTACTACGATCTTACAGCAAAACTATTTGTAAGCAAATACTTATACCCATCTATCATCGCATTGGAATAACCGCAAACAGGGGACAACGTAACCCCAACCAAGTTGGTCAGATGACATTGACTTGATGATAACCACGACAATGTGACTACCACGGAGCGGAACAGCCTATTGGCCTTCTTTTCTGCGGGTTTTAATTTCCTCGTCCCCTAATTAAAAACAAATTGGAATAAATTTTTTGTGGTTTTTGGTGGTGCAGAATACAATTCCACTGAGTACACAGTTGGAGTACTACAAGGAATATCAGAAGAAGGTGGTGAAACTTGTGGGAAAAGTGAATGCCACTTCATTCATAAATGGCTCAGTTCACTTTGTCAGTGCTGGAAGCAGTGATTTTCTTCAGAATTACTTTGTTAATCCTCTGCTGTTCGAGGCTTACACTCCTCACCAGTTCTCAGACATCCTCATACAATCCTATGCCAAATTCGTGCAGGTCCAAAAAAGATATATCAGTTCAATTAGTTTTTTGCCACATAAATGTCCTGTTCGGTAACATAGTTAGCTTATCAATCAATTTTGACTTATTTGAATACTATTAACTGTTTAACTTGGTTAAACAATCAATATGAGTGTTTGATTAATTAGTCTTGTGTAACAGTTTATTGCTCCAAAATGCTAAAATTTAAAAAGTTGCTCAAAGCAATTTTTTGATAAAGTTAATCAGCAATCAAGTAACATCTAATTTATCAAATATTTTTCTACAATCAGCTAATGCTATCAACTAGTAAAACCCACTAATTCTATCAATTAACAGCTATTTACCAAACACCCAAAATCCAGATCTCAGCTACTTTAGTTGTTGATTGATTAGTGATCTTGAAATATGGTTTTTCTTTGTTTTTACTGATAGGAACTGTATGAGCTGGGAGCAAGGAAGATTGGGGTGACAACACTGCCACCAATTGGATGTGTACCGGCCGCCATTACAATCTTTGGTGGTGAAGGCAGCAATAAGTGTGTGGAAAAGTTGAACAAAGCAGCCATTTATTTCAACAGGAAGCTCAACGCTACCTCTCTCAAGTTGCAGCAGAAGCTCTCCGGCCTCAATCTCGTCGTCCTCGACATATACCAGCCCCTCCTTGACCTTGTCACCCATCCAACTGATCACGGTAAGTCAACTGCTAATACAATTGCACGCAGGCTTTTAACTAGGTAGTATAATGGCATATTTTGTAGAGAGCAATTACAATCCCTTTTTCCACTTAATTCCAGGAAGTGAAAAATTCTAGAGTTTTGTCTGGAGGAATTGCAATCCTCAAATTTGATGATTTGCAAATCTCACCTCTCCTAAGAATTGCAATTCTAATACATGGAAAAAAAGTTTGAAGTTTGAGGATCAAATTGCCCATCTCTCTATAGAACACAGATATTTTAGTCTTTATACTATTTATCCCATCTCAATTCTCATATATACCGAACGAACACTATAATTGAAATTTTCACCAAATGTCAAGGTTTGATCATTGGAGGTATGGAGCAGCCTTAAATTTTCAAGTCAATTGTTCCACCTAATAGAAGTGTCTACAGTTCAGTAATTCGATTTCTGTCTACCAAACAATAAAATTTAAATTCCTACCTCATTTCTACCCGCGTTATTTTTTTAATTTCTAGATAATATAGAATTACAATAACTTTCTCCAATAATTCTCTCATTGCAACCAAACGAGTAGGGTTCTTTGAAGCAAGAAGGGCATGTTGTGGCACAGGGCTGGTGGAGACATCTTTTCTGTGCAACGCAGAGTCTCCGGGGACGTGTAAAAACGCGACGGAGTATGTTTTCTGGGATGGGTTTCATCCCACAGAGGCAGCCAACCAAGTTTTGTCTGATGACTTGCTTGCCGCCGGCCTTTCCCTCATCGGCTAATTAACTTATTAATTGCATATATATACACTAAGTTTAACTTCAAGACAAATTAAGGGATTTCTCTTGTCTTGAATTTGTGATTTGTGATTTATTGTTGTCATATTGGTATTGTAATCAAATAACAGAGAGATCAGAGTGAGTGTATTCAACCCATGTTTATGCAATTTCATATTTTTTTTGTAAGCAATATGAAAAGAAACAAAGTTATATATGGCCTTCTTCTGTTTTTTTTTTTTTTTTTTTTTTTTTTTTTTTTTTTTTAAATAAATGTTATTATTATTATTATTTTTTTTCCATTTGAGTTGTGCTAGAATTTGATTCTATACTCTAAGAAAGTCTAACTCAAAAATTCTTTAATATGATGCATTATTTACAAGATTTGAATCATCTAAGACCTTATAGTTACATTAGCAGTTCGCTTACCAACTGTCTCAAACTAATGAGTTTAGTTATTTTAGATGCAAAAGAAACAACACTATCAACAAATTACATACAAAGTAATACTAAGCGCGCATATTTAGTGATTATTAGGAGAAGATAAATGTGTATTTTTTTCTTTCTATTTTCAATTTACTACATTACACTATAAAGATTTATGCAATTTCATTTTTTTTTTGTAACCAATATGAAAAGAAACAAAGTTATGTATGGAGTATTCCGGCCTTCTTCCTCCTCTTTTTCAATGTTTTATATGATACATTGTTTACCAGATTTGAACCATATCAGGTTACATTAATAATTCACTTATCAATTGTCTTAAACTATTGAGTTAATGTTTTATTATTTTAGATTAAAAAAAAAAAAACTATCAAGAAATTACATAAAACTTAATCATTCTAAGCCCACACATTTAGTGATTAGAAGAAGATAAAAGTGTACTTTTTTCTTTCTATTTTCAAATTACTACATTACACTATAAAGTTTTAGGAGTTTGCAAATCTAAAAATTATATGTGTCATTATTATTATTATAATAATTATAATAATAATAATAATAATAATAATAATAATAATTTTATTATTCCCCGTACAAAAGTCAATTGCTAAGCCATCGTAATCAGTAGTTATTTTGGTAGAGCTGTTACTTCGATAACAAGTTCTAAGATTGACTCTCAATTGAAATGGTTTATTGATTTTCTTGACTTGACTTAATCAAATTACCCAATGCACACACTCAAATAGTAATGTGTTTTGCTTTGTAAAAATTGTGTTAAAATATATCCAAAAATTAATATTTCCTACCAAATAGAGAAATCTCACCTGGCATGAAAAAAAAAATATATTTATTTTATTTTTGAGTGTAGTCTACTTCAAACGAATTTTATCTATCTATTTTGAAAAAGAAAAAGAAAAGGAAAAAAAAAAAAATGAAGGGGTAACGGAATATAACTGCCGGAATAATTTTTAACACCGTAAAATAATGAAAATTGAAAATATATGTGGTGTGGAAGTAGCTTTACCAGACACGTTAACTGACGGAATGCACCAACCATTCACAACCACCAGCTTCATGGCCCTGTACACGTGTTTCGTTTGATCAGAAAAAGCGCAGAGAGGACTGCAAAATTTACCCTTCTCATCTCTCACATGAACTCCTCCTCTGCTTCCGTAATCCGACAATGGCTGCCGCAGTTTCGACGGTGAATCTCCTCCACCTGCCAGCTAAGTCTTCCGAGCTGCGGCTCTTCGTTGCCGGCGCATACTCGATTCTCCGCCTCAGAAGCTCAGGATTGTGGTCGCCTGAGAGTCGAGTGGTGGCTACGAAGCTGCCGAGTATTGAAGCCGTTAGGTGTTTGACGAAGCCTACGGAGGAGAGTGAGCCGGAGAATTTTTCGAGTGATGAGGAGGAGGTTAGGGAAGGTGAGAATAAGATGGAGTCGCAACAGGACTCCCTTGATGCTACGGCTCGTCCTGAATTCTCCAACGGTTCCGCCGTCTCGAAAACTCTCGCCGGAGATTCTTTGTCCCTCGGCATTCGTGAACCTGTTTACCAGGTATGTTGTACATTTTTTTATTTTTATTTTTTATTTTTTTTATTTTACTTTTTTATTTTAATTAGTTCTTCAAATTTACACAAATGAACAACTTTTGCTTAGAGAACACTGCCTGTGAACAAAAAAAATTGAATTACATATTAAAATTCAAAATTCTTGGTTATAAGGTAGAGTGTCATTGTGTCAATAAAGTATGGGTAGAGCTTAGTCCTCTAATTTTTCACTTGGATGTCTTGAACACTCCATTGAAGTGCCTCCGGAATTAAGTGGCTTGATCGAGGGTTGGATCAACATGCATGGCATTTTCAAAGAAGAGCTTATGGCAGATGGAGGGCTTTCATTTTCAGGATTGATCTCTGAATAATATTTTCAAAAATGTTTTGATTTCTAGGATGAATGAGAGATATAGTTAGGATGAGAAGAGTTTTGATAAGTTAAAACTCTTTATGATATTATTTAATTAAACAAATCAGATAATATCAATATTATCCAAAATATATTCAAATATTTTAATATTATCTTTATCAAATTTTCAATGTCAATCCTAGCAGCAGTACAGCCTACAGCATAAACTGTGTTTTGAGCTATATGATTGAACTTTGATGGTCATGCAGCAGCTTTGTATATTTTTCCATTCTTATTTAAATGTGATTAATGGCTAAATATCTGCAATGGTTTGATTATTCTAAAGGTAGTGGAAGTAAAGTCAAGTGGGATGGTTTCAACTAGGAAAATCAACAGACGGCACCTACTGAAATCTAGTGGTGGGTGAAGTTTGCCTTGTTCAATTTCATATTGTTTGTTGTTCCATTCAACTATCATTTCAACAAAACTTCTAGACCAATATGTTCTTCATTGATATCCTTTCCCCGTCTCTGGGTACATGTCATCTAAATTCAAGAATGTGCTCTTTCACAGGTCTCCGCCCTAGAGATATAAGAAGTGTTGATCCATCATTGTGGTTAACAAATTCCATGCCATCTTTACTGGTATGGGAATAGTTGTGTGTAGATTCTAAAAATCACTTTTGTTCTGAAATTTTAGGTGCCTTGCATTCACGGATACAGAGATTGGATACAGACTATGAAGCTTCCTAGAGAGAAGGAGGAGAATCGTAATTGTAGAGAGAGAGAGAGAGAGTCACTCTCACTTCACATGCAGAGCTGTTTCTTATTATGATGTTGGTGGCAGCACAGCAATTCTACCAAAAGCTTACAATTTAGCATTTACATAAGTCGAATGTGTGACACAAGCCATCACAGCTCAATGAGAAACATAAGCAAGACACGCTAGTCAATTGTAGTTGGAACTAATGTACATTTTTTACACTTTCCCACTTAAAAAAAAAAAAAAAAAAAAAAAAAAAAAAAGACAAGGGAAACCAAGTTAATTTTCACTTAGTTAACTTTAGTTTGGTGCCTTTTAAGGGGATATTTTTCTTCCTTTTTTTTAATTGAAAAAATAAGTTATAACAATATTTATTTGTACAATTTACATATGATTAATCATAACACTTATATTTATGAAATATGACTTGAACTTGAGACATTAATTGAAACAAGGGGCCATAAATGTTGTTCAATCACATATACTGTAGTTGAATTGGCTCCTTTTAATCTTTTATTCAATCACTTATACCTGATAGAGTTTATATTTTGTTAGTGGTAGAGATGTAAATGAGTAAAACTATTCATGAACCGGGCTGAATTTGATTCTATTACTATCAAGTCGAACTCGAGTAATAAAACAAGCTGATTTTGAGTCTCTTAATACTTGGCTTGAGTAGCTTGCAAGCCTAATCAAATTATTATTATTGTTGTTGTTGTTATTATTATTATTATTATTTTATATATACACACACAAAATAATTTAACTAATATATTTATATTTACATGTTATAAAATGCTATAACTGAGATATAATATTGAGTTTTGTTATAATATTTGGTTGTAAAATATTTAATATTATAATTTGTGTAAAAAATATAAATATAAAAATCGTTGTTTAGTATTCAAATCAAGTTTAAATAGCTTGAACTTGAGCTCAAAAATTAGAGTTCAGTCGAACTTGAGACAACCTCGAGTTTTGATTTTTTGAATCGAGCTGAATTTCAACCTTAGCTTTGACTATTCGAGCTCTGCTCAACTCAATTACACCATTAGTTGACAACTAATACTATTAGCGTGATTTAACCTAAATTTGTGTACTCGTTTAGTCGTTTCTAATTTGTACTTTTCTACCCCTAGTGTCCCAAAAATAAATAAATAAAATAATATAACAACCTAGCTATAAACTAAGTTTAATTCTTTATTGGCATTAGTTGAGGAATAACTTAATCATGAGTTGGTAAAGTCCCAATCTTCTATCCATTTCAACCAAGTAGGCTCTCAAGCACAATTTCAATTTCATATACTATAAATATATGCCTCACTTTGGTGCATCCCAAAACACATAACTAAAAATTGTAGCCAGCAATATAATGGGGGTTTCATGTTTTTTGTTGGCTTGCTTGTTTTTGCTATCTTTGGGGCTCATTCATGTGATCAATGGGCAGCCTCTAGTCCCTGCATTCATCTTGTTTGGGGACTCCATAGTTGACCAGGGCAACAACAACAATCTTGAAACCCTTGTCAAAGCTAACTTCCCTCCCTATGGAAGAGACTACCCCAAACACATACCAACTGGCAGGTTTTGCAATGGAAAGCTTGCCTCCGACTTTACTGGTATTCCGATGTTACTTTTGATCGCTCCATTTTTGTGATGTTACTATATATGATTACGTGACATGATTCCCGATTATTATTTTTTTTTTTCCACTATTAGTCTCTGGACTTTGAATTATTATTCAGTATTTCCATCAAGTTTAATTTTTAGTTAAGTACCACTTGAAAACTCGTCAAAAAACAATTAATTCATCATGTGATGAATGACCAGAAAACTTGCTAGAATGATTAAAAATTAATCAAAGTCAAAGAACTAGTAATGAAAATATGATAGAAAAATGAAAATGCAACAAAAGTCGAAGGGCTACAAGTGGAAATTCCCTATTAACGTTGACAATAGTGGTGTTGTGATAATATAGACTACTACCTTAAAAACCATCTCAAACATTAAAATTGTGTATGCATTGCAAGCCTGGTCTCCCAAAAAGGAAACTAATGAAAAGTATCATTCTCCTTTTTCTTTACCAAGTTCTTTAACTACTAACTTATAGTATACATTGCAATGCAGCTGAGAATCTGGGCTTCAATTCATCTCCACCAGCTTATCTAAGCCACGCAGCTAAAGGGAAACATCTCTTGATTGGAGCCAATTTTGCATCAGCTTCCTCTGGTTACTACGATCTTACAGCAAAACTATTTGTAAGCAAATACTTATACCCATCTATCATCGCATTGGAATAACCGCAAACAGGGGACAACGTAACCCCAACCAAGTTGGTCAGATGACATTGACTTGATGATAACCACGACAATGTGACTACCACGGAGCGGAACAGCCTATTGGCCTTCTTTTCTGCGGGTTTTAATTTCCTCGTCCCCTAATTAAAAACAAATTGGAATAAATTTTTTGTGGTTTTTGGTGGTGCAGAATACAATTCCACTGAGTACACAGTTGGAGTACTACAAGGAATATCAGAAGAAGGTGGTGAAACTTGTGGGAAAAGTGAATGCCACTTCATTCATAAATGGCTCAGTTCACTTTGTCAGTGCTGGAAGCAGTGATTTTCTTCAGAATTACTTTGTTAATCCTCTGCTGTTCGAGGCTTACACTCCTCACCAGTTCTCAGACATCCTCATACAATCCTATGCCAAATTCGTGCAGGTCCAAAAAAGATATATCAGTTCAATTAGTTTTTTGCCACATAAATGTCCTGTTCGGTAACATAGTTAGCTTATCAATCAATTTTGACTTATTTGAATACTATTAACTGTTTAACTTGGTTAAACAATCAATATGAGTGTTTGATTAATTAGTCTTGTGTAACAGTTTATTGCTCCAAAATGCTAAAATTTAAAAAGTTGCTCAAAGCAATTTTTTGATAAAGTTAATCAGCAATCAAGTAACATCTAATTTATCAAATATTTTTCTACAATCAGCTAATGCTATCAACTAGTAAAACCCACTAATTCTATCAATTAACAGCTATTTACCAAACACCCAAAATCCAGATCTCAGCTACTTTAGTTGTTGATTGATTAGTGATCTTGAAATATGGTTTTTCTTTGTTTTTACTGATAGGAACTGTATGAGCTGGGAGCAAGGAAGATTGGGGTGACAACACTGCCACCAATTGGATGTGTACCGGCCGCCATTACAATCTTTGGTGGTGAAGGCAGCAATAAGTGTGTGGAAAAGTTGAACAAAGCAGCCATTTATTTCAACAGGAAGCTCAACGCTACCTCTCTCAAGTTGCAGCAGAAGCTCTCCGGCCTCAATCTCGTCGTCCTCGACATATACCAGCCCCTCCTTGACCTTGTCACCCATCCAACTGATCACGGTAAGTCAACTGCTAATACAATTGCACGCAGGCTTTTAACTAGGTAGTATAATGGCATATTTTGTAGAGAGCAATTACAATCCCTTTTTCCACTTAATTCCAGGAAGTGAAAAATTCTAGAGTTTTGTCTGGAGGAATTGCAATCCTCAAATTTGATGATTTGCAAATCTCACCTCTCCTAAGAATTGCAATTCTAATACATGGAAAAAAAGTTTGAAGTTTGAGGATCAAATTGCCCATCTCTCTATAGAACACAGATATTTTAGTCTTTATACTATTTATCCCATCTCAATTCTCATATATACCGAACGAACACTATAATTGAAATTTTCACCAAATGTCAAGGTTTGATCATTGGAGGTATGGAGCAGCCTTAAATTTTCAAGTCAATTGTTCCACCTAATAGAAGTGTCTACAGTTCAGTAATTCGATTTCTGTCTACCAAACAATAAAATTTAAATTCCTACCTCATTTCTACCCGCGTTATTTTTTTAATTTCTAGATAATATAGAATTACAATAACTTTCTCCAATAATTCTCTCATTGCAACCAAACGAGTAGGGTTCTTTGAAGCAAGAAGGGCATGTTGTGGCACAGGGCTGGTGGAGACATCTTTTCTGTGCAACGCAGAGTCTCCGGGGACGTGTAAAAACGCGACGGAGTATGTTTTCTGGGATGGGTTTCATCCCACAGAGGCAGCCAACCAAGTTTTGTCTGATGACTTGCTTGCCGCCGGCCTTTCCCTCATCGGCTAATTAACTTATTAATTGCATATATATACACTAAGTTTAACTTCAAGACAAATTAAGGGATTTCTCTTGTCTTGAATTTGTGATTTGTGATTTATTGTTGTCATATTGGTATTGTAATCAAATAACAGAGAGATCAGAGTGAGTGTATTCAACCCATGTTTATGCAATTTCATATTTTTTTTGTAAGCAATATGAAAAGAAACAAAGTTATATATGGCCTTCTTCTGTTTTTTTTTTTTTTTTTTTTTTTTTTTTTTTTTTTTTTTAAATAAATGTTATTATTATTATTATTTTTTTTCCATTTGAGTTGTGCTAGAATTTGATTCTATACTCTAAGAAAGTCTAACTCAAAAATTCTTTAATATGATGCATTATTTACAAGATTTGAATCATCTAAGACCTTATAGTTACATTAGCAGTTCGCTTACCAACTGTCTCAAACTAATGAGTTTAGTTATTTTAGATGCAAAAGAAACAACACTATCAACAAATTACATACAAAGTAATACTAAGCGCGCATATTTAGTGATTATTAGGAGAAGATAAATGTGTATTTTTTTCTTTCTATTTTCAATTTACTACATTACACTATAAAGATTTATGCAATTTCATTTTTTTTTTGTAACCAATATGAAAAGAAACAAAGTTATGTATGGAGTATTCCGGCCTTCTTCCTCCTCTTTTTCAATGTTTTATATGATACATTGTTTACCAGATTTGAACCATATCAGGTTACATTAATAATTCACTTATCAATTGTCTTAAACTATTGAGTTAATGTTTTATTATTTTAGATTAAAAAAAAAAAAACTATCAAGAAATTACATAAAACTTAATCATTCTAAGCCCACACATTTAGTGATTAGAAGAAGATAAAAGTGTACTTTTTTCTTTCTATTTTCAAATTACTACATTACACTATAAAGTTTTAGGAGTTTGCAAATCTAAAAATTATATGTGTCATTATTATTATTATAATAATTATAATAATAATAATAATAATAATAATAATAATAATTTTATTATTCCCCGTACAAAAGTCAATTGCTAAGCCATCGTAATCAGTAGTTATTTTGGTAGAGCTGTTACTTCGATAACAAGTTCTAAGATTGACTCTCAATTGAAATGGTTTATTGATTTTCTTGACTTGACTTAATCAAATTACCCAATGCACACACTCAAATAGTAATGTGTTTTGCTTTGTAAAAATTGTGTTAAAATATATCCAAAAATTAATATTTCCTACCAAATAGAGAAATCTCACCTGGCATGAAAAAAAAAATATATTTATTTTATTTTTGAGTGTAGTCTACTTCAAACGAATTTTATCTATCTATTTTGAAAAAGAAAAAGAAAAGGAAAAAAAAAAAAATGAAGGGGTAACGGAATATAACTGCCGGAATAATTTTTAACACCGTAAAATAATGAAAATTGAAAATATATGTGGTGTGGAAGTAGCTTTACCAGACACGTTAACTGACGGAATGCACCAACCATTCACAACCACCAGCTTCATGGCCCTGTACACGTGTTTCGTTTGATCAGAAAAAGCGCAGAGAGGACTGCAAAATTTACCCTTCTCATCTCTCACATGAACTCCTCCTCTGCTTCCGTAATCCGACAATGGCTGCCGCAGTTTCGACGGTGAATCTCCTCCACCTGCCAGCTAAGTCTTCCGAGCTGCGGCTCTTCGTTGCCGGCGCATACTCGATTCTCCGCCTCAGAAGCTCAGGATTGTGGTCGCCTGAGAGTCGAGTGGTGGCTACGAAGCTGCCGAGTATTGAAGCCGTTAGGTGTTTGACGAAGCCTACGGAGGAGAGTGAGCCGGAGAATTTTTCGAGTGATGAGGAGGAGGTTAGGGAAGGTGAGAATAAGATGGAGTCGCAACAGGACTCCCTTGATGCTACGGCTCGTCCTGAATTCTCCAACGGTTCCGCCGTCTCGAAAACTCTCGCCGGAGATTCTTTGTCCCTCGGCATTCGTGAACCTGTTTACCAGGTATGTTGTACATTTTTTTATTTTTATTTTTTATTTTTTTTATTTTACTTTTTTATTTTAATTAGTTCTTCAAATTTACACAAATGAACAACTTTTGCTTAGAGAACACTGCCTGTGAACAAAAAAAATTGAATTACATATTAAAATTCAAAATTCTTGGTTATAAGGTAGAGTGTCATTGTGTCAATAAAGTATGGGTAGAGCTTAGTCCTCTAATTTTTCACTTGGATGTCTTGAACACTCCATTGAAGTGCCTCCGGAATTAAGTGGCTTGATCGAGGGTTGGATCAACATGCATGGCATTTTCAAAGAAGAGCTTATGGCAGATGGAGGGCTTTCATTTTCAGGATTGATCTCTGAATAATATTTTCAAAAATGTTTTGATTTCTAGGATGAATGAGAGATATAGTTAGGATGAGAAGAGTTTTGATAAGTTAAAACTCTTTATGATATTATTTAATTAAACAAATCAGATAATATCAATATTATCCAAAATATATTCAAATATTTTAATATTATCTTTATCAAATTTTCAATGTCAACCCTAGCAGCAGTACAGCCTACAGCATAAACTGTGTTTTGAGCTATATGATTGAACTTTGATGGTCATGCAGCAGCTTTGTATATTTTTCCATTCTTATTTAAATGTGATTAATGGCTAAATATCTGCAATGGTTTGATTATTCTAAAGGTAGTGGAAGTAAAGTCAAGTGGGATGGTTTCAACTAGGAAAATCAACAGACGGCACCTACTGAAATCTAGTGGTGGGTGAAGTTTGCCTTGTTCAATTTCATATTGTTTGTTGTTCCATTCAACTATCATTTCAACAAAACTTCTAGACCAATATGTTCTTCATTGATATCCTTTCCCAGTCTCTGGGTACATGCCATCTAACTTCAAGAATGTGCTGTTTCACAGGTCTCCGCCCTAGAGATATAAGAAGTGTTGATCCATCATTGTGGTTAACAAATTCCATGCCATCTTTACTGGTATGGGAATAGTTGTGTGTAGTGCTATTTATGCTGGAAGAAGTTTCTTTTCAGTTTACTTCCAGCAACCTAGTTTATAGGATATGGATTTGGTGAAAGTCTATCCTACTTCACTTTCTGACATGTTCTTTAGTCATATTGCCATGTTATTTTTGCTGAAGTCTGGAGAATCTAGTAGCTTCTTTCATGGACATTAATTAAGTACTGATATTCTGGTTCCAGGTCCGCGAGCATGCAATTCTACTGAATTTAGGCTCTTTACGGGCCATAGTAATGCAGGAAAGTGTTCTTATATTCAACTATAACCGGTACTTCCTCCTTGTGCCAGATGTGTAGAAAAGTTTTGTTTAATATGGAATAACTGCTCTATGATCTTACACTTTAGTTTTCAATGTTTACAGTACAGGAGGAAAAGCTTTCATTGATGCATTGTTACCCCGGCTAAATCCTAAAAACATGAATGGAGGCCCATCAATGCCATTTGTGCTTGAGGTTGTCCTCCAATTTAAAACTTTGATGAAACTATCTACAGCTAACTGAAGAAACTGGGCTATATTCATGTGTTGTAGATTCTAAAGATCACTTTTGTTCTGAAATTTTTAGGTGGTAGAGGCAGCCTTGCATTCACGGATACAGAGATTGGAGCAAAGACTATGGGATTTAGAACCTCGTGTGAGTGTAGCATATTATGTGTGTTCATTCATCAATCATCACTGCTACTTTGAGAAATACATTCATTGAGATAATGGGGGTGTTTGGTAAATGGCTGTTAGCTGATTGGGTTGGTGGGTTTGACTAGTTGATAGCATTAGTTGATTGTAGAAAAACGTTTGGTAAATTAGTTGTTAGCTGTTAGCTGATTACATACAAAATGACTTTCTCAAAAAGTTGATCGAGAAAGCTACTTTGAGCAGCTTTTTGAATTTTAGCATTTTGGAGCAATAAGTTGTTACAAAAAGCTAATTAATCAAACACTCATATTGATTGTTTAACTAACGCAAACAGCTAATAGTGGTCAAATAAGCCAAAATTGGCTGATAGGCTAACTATTTTACCAAACAGGGCCAATATCTAGATGTATTTATCCAATATGTCTGCTCGTTCTAACCATTTACAAATGAACTTTAAATACTTTATGGATTACACGTTGACAGATCTGCATGTAAAGTTATGATTCTTGTAATATATAGGCACTGGAAGGAGTAAATTGTACGGAGTAGCTTCCATAAGCACTCAATAACTTGCACAACTGTTGGGATAAACTGTTATAATTAAGTTGTCTTTTATGCAGGTGCAAGCTTTACTCGAGGTTTTGCCTAATAGATTGACTGCAGACGTGTTGGAGCAGCTCAGAATTAGCAAACAAACATTGGTATGCCATTTTACTATGACTTCTACAGCCTAACATTGACAGAATTAATGCACACAATTTAAACCTTTTCGACAAATCCTTGGATGAAAGGTTGAATTGGATTCTAGGGCAGGTGATCTAAAGCAAATGCTGCTTGATATTCTCGAGGATACCCATGAAATACGTCGCATCTGCATCATGGGTAGAAATTGTACCCTGACGAAAGGAAATGATGAGATGGAATGTGCTGTTCCTCTTGAAAAGCAGATTGCAGAGGGTACGGGAATTCAGGTTCTCTTTACTGCTAATAGTACTTGCAACGTAGCTTATGTCCGCTAAACATATGCATCTAATACTCCTTAAATGAATTCATAATTTGCAGAAGAAGAGGAAGAAATTGAAATGCTTTTGGAGAACTATCTTCAAAGGTTATTTCTTGGCTCCATTTCAATTTTATGCTAAGCTCATTTGCATGTGTAACAAATCATTTTTTGTGCACAGATAGAAGACTACATGGTTTCAATGATATAGACTTCAATTTAGGCCATCTGGAGCCACTAAACTATGGAGATATATATTTAACCAATCTAATGTTTTCAAGGAATCAATTTTGCTTGAATTTGTTAAAATTGAATCCCTTAATTAGACTTCAATTTAGGCCATCCGGAGCCACTAAATTGTCCTTGTTGAAAGTGAGATATTTTCCTTTGACCAAACAGTCATTTTCCTTTGACTCCTCATATTTTCCACTCTTTACCAAACACTGAAATCATTTTTCGGGTTTCCAAGCACACTCTAACTGTAATATTTCCCTTTGATATAACCTTTCCATTCAGTCTCAATTGTATTCTACTTAACCTAATTATTTTATTGTAAATGCAGATGTGAATCTTGTCATGGTCAAGCAGAAAGGCTCCTTGATTCTGCAAAAGAAATGGAAGACTCAATTGCTGTTAACCTAAGGTTCATAGATACTTTCTATATTCTTGATTCTTCATGATGTTACAAATAAATTTGATTTGACTTGTCCGCAATATATAATGAGCCTGACCATCAAGTTAATTTAGGCCAAGTAGCAGAAGCCAAACAATAAGCCAATTTGTTGCTTTCAAAACCAAACTCTTGCTACCATCCTAAATGGTTGGTAGCAAGAGTTTGATTTTCCAGCAGAAATTTCAATTACATATAATAAATGAGGGAATAGCTCATTATTCCACACTTCAATTCCCCACAAAAAAAGAATATGAAGAAAATAAAAAAATTTGGACTCTCCAACAAACCTTGTGCTATATTAGTCTGACCATTGATTTTATTTAAGCCAAGTAGTTAGTGGAGAGGTAGGACACTAAACCCTAAACCCTACCTGTTTACCAAGCAGTACAAGTTGCTAGAAGACTCTATGAGATGAAACTTGTAATGCGATATTTTAATCTTATATTTCAGTTATATGGAAGATCCATTAAGTGTATTTTCTACTTGGTTGGGGATGGAATAAGAGAATTATTATATTGTGGACCAGGGCCCACCATTTTATGTACTTGCAGTTAATATATAATGTACCTTCAGTTAATAAATTATGTACTTATTGTAATTAACATATGGAAAATGCTTATTTTCTCTCCTAAATTTCACCTCCAATATTTTCCCTCCTGATGTGGCTTCCATTCATTGGTTTCATGACCCCACCAGTCCCACCACTAATTAAAAATATAATTTAGTTACCAATTAGAAGTTGTCACGTCATGAGGGATGGATTGGAGGGAAAATGTTAAGAGGTCTCTAGTATTACTCTTAAAATATTATATACCTACAGTTAATAAATTATGTACTTATTATGATTAACGTATCATGTACCTACAACTAACATACATATTATGTACCTTCAATTTATTTATATGTACATAATATGTTTACTGTATATACATAATCTGAATGTTATTTTGAACCACGGCCCACAATGCAAGGTGGACCATGGTACTTGGTATTATTTGCCCGAATCAGAGAGTTGGAAAATCTTCATTATTCATTTATTCAGCTGAAGGGAGAGGGCAGCAGGCATAAGAGGCAAATGCCAAAATGAAATATTTTCCCTCTTACCATTTTGATTTTTTTCTTTCCAACTTAGCAAACGAAGGAAAATGAATATCTCCATTTTCTATGCTTCCAACCACCAAGCATGGGAAATGAGATTTTCCCCTTCATAGGGTGAAAATCCAATCATTAGACTACTTTATTTTTAATTTTTTTAATAGAGAATTCTTGTACTAATTCATGGAAGACATTTCTTCTTGTACTTGTTAGCTCAAGGAGGCTTGAGGTAAGCAGAGTGGAATTACTACTGCAGGTTGGGGCATTTTGTGTAGCTATTGGTGCTCTGGTATCAGGTAATCCATCTGCCAAACTATTAATGTTTATATGTGGCTAGAATCTATCTTTGAGTGTTAGTTCATTAGTAATGCATGGGAACTATGAAATTTTCCAACTGAATATTTTTATTTGATGTTTCATGTTTGTACTCTATAAACATTGGATTTGAAGTTTGAACTACATGATTCATGTTTGTAATGTTTGAACTTTGAATTTTGGATTCTAATTTCTAAGTATGTGATGTTTTGGTAATTAGATTGCTATTAGTATGTGATGTTAGTATTTACTATTTAGTAGTATGTTTAAACTTTGAATTATTATTTTGTTATATAACGTTTATATTTTAGATAGTGGTGTTTGTATAGCTATATATCACATGAATTTGTGCACATATTATTTTTATCTATAGCCCTCTAGCATAGGTCTACAAGATTTTATTTGATGTTCAATAGCAAAAAACTAAGCCTCGACCCAGTTCTTTTCACCCAATGATTTTTTTTTTTTTTTTTCGAGTTCTTTTCAACCAATGATGGATCTGAGTATCTCACAACATATGGTGTTTATCCTACTTTTGTATTTGTTATTTTCTTTAGGTATATTTGGCATGAATTTGAAGTCCTACCTTGAAGAACATGCGGTTTGTAACCTCCATTCTCCGGAACTACTTTCTGTACTCATCTTGCAGAAATATACTGAATTTTGATACATATCTTCTCATTCTCTCTTGTTGACCTCTATGCAGTTTGCGTTTTGGCTGACAACAGCAGGGATAATGGTTGGCGCTGCTGTGACATTTTTCCTCATGTACAGATATCTGAGAAGAAGAAAGATACTGTAAACACTAGCCAGTTTATCAAGTAAATGCATCACCCTTAGCTATTAATGATGGTTTTATACTTTTTAGGAAAAAAGGTCAAATAAGCTCCTAAATTTTACCTGAAAAGCCAATTAGGTCTCTAAACTTTTTAAAAGTGCAATCACACCCTTTAACATGTTATAACATGTTAAATTGAGGCAATGAAGCCCAAGTACCGGTAAATGACCTGCTATTCTAGGTCATTTCAATTTAGGCAACATATCCGGCAAAAATCCAGTTGGTCACCTTCCGCCGGGGAAGGTGACCGACAACGGTTCGGCCGTCGCCGGATATGATGCTTGGACTAATACCGATTCTTGGGCTTCATTGTCTCAACTCAATTTTTAACATGTTAAAAGGGTGTAATTGTACTTTTTAAAGGTTTAGGGACCTAATTAACTTTTCAGCTCAAAGTTTAAGGGCTTATTTGATTATTTTTCCTACTCTTTATCCATACAAATTGTAGCTGGAGTTGCCTTTCTCATCCTAATTCTGATACCAGTTTGTTCTTTGATAGGTGAAGTATAGAAATGAGGAGGTTTGGCTGCCAACTGCATGTAAGGGCATGATTGCTGGTTAAATCCTAGAGTTTGCATTTACCAGAGTGTATAGATGAAACTCGCGGAGCAATGTCTGATCCAAGCAAAGGATGCTGATTGCTGAGCATCGTTAACTTGGATGTCGCAGAACTGCTCCCAAAGGATTCCAATGCTAATTTAGCTTCATTATTAGGAGGGTGATTTTCACTGCCTGCCACCCCCGACTAGCGTGCACTCCTGGGGAAGGATAAACAGAGAACACTTGTATTTTCAATGTACAAGTTAGACATCTGTTTTTTGAAAAAAAAAATAATAATAATTGATATTTCACATTTCGGTCACACAAATGAGCATCACAAAAGAATGATAGTGGTATTGCGCTAACATACATTTCTCAGGTGGAGCAAACAAAACAAACAACCAAGAGCTTTTAAGGGGCCAAAGAAGGTAAATGAAGAAAGAAGGGAAAAGCACATAATTGGCTAAGTTACAAAGTTTGTTTAGGTCGGTTTACTGTCAATTGGGAAGCTTTGACTGGCTTTGGAGCTCCATCAATGGATATATTCCCCATTCCCGCTTCCACTGCATCCCTACCATCCTTCTCCACCTTTTCTACATTACCATTTTCCATTGCTTGTAGGAGATGACCATGAGGTGGCACAAGATGCCGAGGGCCTCCAGTTATCCAAGGATGATTCAGACACTGTGCTGCAGTAGGTCTTTTGTCAGGCACATAATCAAGTATGGGAACAAGAAAATCCGCCATGTCATTTGCATCTTGCTCGCTGAACTCGTATTTCTCCATAAGCACTTTATTAAGAGGCCAGAATCGCAGCCGTCTTATATGCCTCAAGTCTCCATACCTGTTGAAGAAATCCCTTGAATATCGTCCACCCAATGCAATCTGCATATAAAACTCAAGTCAGCTGCATTATTACAATTTTGTTTACTTGAATGACTGAGAATTAGTATTCTAAGTTGCAAGTCTAAAACTGCATGAAAAGAGGCTGACCTTACGCGGCATTGTTCCAAGGACCTCCATCATTAATGCCAAGTGATCCTGTGAAATGGAGGCATGAATCAATAAACATTGAACTATACCATAAATGCTAAGTAAAGCACTATTATTCAAAATAAATATGGATCCCCAAAATGCTCAACCAGGATTACCCCAAAAAAATAAATAAATAAAAACAAACAAACAAACAAACAAAATTTTGATCATTTTCGAGGCTATTTTATACAATGGTCATACTTCAACTAAAATAAGATTATCTTGTGCTCTCTTCATGGAAATTGTTCCAATCCAATTCACTCATTGGTGTTTTATTGAAGATGTTTGTCTAGGGAAATACAGAAAAGCTTCCAAACTCATAATCTGAACTCAATGGATAAGGAACATTAATGGAATGAAAATAATGGGTGCCATCACCACTATAAAATTTCACTTCAAACGTAGTACAGAGATGTAAATAAGTAAATAGCAAACCATAACACACTTTCTTAACTTTAATCATTTCTATTTAACTCTTCATGATGACTGGTATTGTCAATCAAACAGAGATTTATCTTTCAGCTTCAACCACATCTTCCTCGTAATTGCTTGTTAAAATTAGGAGTATGCAATTGCAGCTCCCATGTCTTATAATAACAAACTTCTGGTGGAAATGAATAGGTGGAGAAGAAGATAGGGAAGAAAAAAAAAGAGGAACCCGGAAGAGGACAATTTGAGGCAAAGCAAACTCATGCTAAAATCGCATCGACTCCAAACAGAAAATGGGGGAAAGGCAGACTAAAAACAGTAGGAAAGTTTGATGGTAAATGAATTGGTATTGTGGGAAAATTTTCTCAAATATCCCGACGGAAACCACAATTCATGTACTGGATATGAACTATGTATAATTGTCCCCATAAAGCAGAAATCAATTTTAGAGAAAAATTTACCTAAATCATTTGTGCAATTATTCTTTATTTTATTAGTTGCATGACAAGTTTTACATTCCAAAGGTTGGCAGGAGGTCAAATTTATAATAAAATCAATAAAAGGCAGAATTACAGTACCTCATCCCTGTTGTAATTGTCACCACTATGAGGGTCAAAAAGAACATCTCCTGTTGCAAGCTCAAAGCAAATGCAACCAAAGGACCAGAGATCCACTGGAGTTGAATATTTAGAGCCGAGGAGAACCTCTGGGGATCTGTATTGTCTAGTCTGAATATCACTTGTAAACTGTTTATAAGTCCAACATGCATTGCCAAAATCAACCAGTTTGCACTTGAGCTCAGCTTCAGCCAATAGCTTCTGCCTTGTCGAGCGGTTGCCTCTCTTATTACTTTGACTTCCTTGGTTCCCATTTGAGACTCCATCTGTTTTAATTGATGCATCTTTCTGGAATTTAGTATCACTTTCTCTGTCAGTGGATCCTTGATCTCGTTTTTCATTGTGACGAGAATTGTCAGGAGTACTAGCTTCGGTATCCAGCTCAGCTTCCTCAGTAGCATCTTTACCAAAACATTTTTGAGCTGCCTGTTTAGCTTTTCTCTGTATTTTCTTCTCTTGGCTCTTGGACAGATCACGGTTTGAACTCTTGGCATCCTTTGAAGGCCCTGTCTCTGAGACACTCTTACTTTTATCATTTGGGAGGATGAGAGATGCACCAGACTTCCTTGGATCTTTGGATGGATCAATCATCGATAAAAGCAAGATATTTTCTAGCTTCAAGTCTGTATGTATGATCGAGAGTTGGCGATGTAGATAATCGAGACCTACTAAAATGTGGAAGCAAATTTCTTTAACCTTGTGAAGCGGAACTCCTCGATAGTCTGAATACTTAATAAGAGTCAGAAGATTGTCCCCCAAGCACTCAAATACCATGCAAACATGCTGCCCATTTGGTCCTGAATGCTTAAAGTGATCCAACAACTTCACGACACACTTCTTGTCATCTGGATCTCCCTCGGCAATCTGCTTTAGTATTGTAATTTCATCCATTGCCGCTTCAGTATAATCCTGATCACTCTTTTGAACTTTTAAAGCTACATATCTCTACTCTCCACAGAAACAGAAGAAACAATTAGCTCCAGAACACCTTAAATTTGAGACATAACAATAAGGCACAAATCCATCCCACCCTCTCCTCTTATCACACACAGACATATTGGACTCACAGCTATGAAAAAGAAATGAATGGAACACTACATTTTGCTCATCTCTACTCAGAATTTGACACCAAGACAGACATATATCTATGGAACTCCAAATGTCCAAAAAACAGTAGCATAGAACTCCAGCACGCAATACATGTGCATTCAGACATTAATACAAACACATAGAATGCATTAAACACACGTGCATATATACAGTTTTCAAGTGTGGCAGAGGATAAAGTCAGAAAATTTACAGATTTCTGGGTGTCCCAGGCGAGCCAGACAGTGGAGAAATGTCCCCAGCCGAGCTTGCTCTGAACAACGTAACGTCCGTGCTTGAACGCGTCTCCTACGCGGACCGCATGGTAGCCTCCGCGTCTGTAGTCCTCAGTCCCCTCGTCCTCGGATGTGTAATCGCTAGCCTCACTAAGATCGCCACCGTTCCTGTCCTCCGCCGCCGCCGCCGCCATCGGCCACCTGTACGGCAACTCTGAGCTCCGAAAAGCCGATCCGGTTGACAAAGAATCGGCGATTGAACGCCCAGCACATAAAATTAGGGTTAACTTTATTTAATTTGATGAGATGATAAAAGAAGATAATGACTAATGAGAGTTTGGGTATTTTGTTTGATATTTTGACTACAATTTCCTTTCAGCTTTCGAGTCAGTCAAAAAGATATATAATACATTTTGGTACCATAGGCCTCATCATATGGTACCAATTATTTGAAATAAATTGATCAAATCATTAATGTCATTTAATGTGGCATTTAGTTTAGAGGGTGGGTTTGAAATTTTGAAGAAGGTTTATATGTTGTTATGAGGTTTTTGGAAAATGAGTTTGTATTATTTTTGTTACATTTTAGAATATGATAATATGAATAAACATACTTTTTTTTATCTATATAAAATATTAAAATATTAGTTTGTGTCTAGTAAACAATTATTAATACCTCCTTTAAAAAACAAACAATTATTAATACCTTGAATCAGACCACAAGGTGTTTAGCAAGGAGTTCACCTTGTAGAAATTCATATAGTCTGAAGATGAGTTTGGCCACTTAGTTGGAAGTCCTTTATTGTAAGAAGTTTATATATTTCAAATCCTATTCACAACATAAGAAGACAAGGGCTAACGGCTAAGCATGTGTCGCTTGAGCATATCGGCATAACATCTACATCGCAAAGCTTATAGAGATCGTGGAGACAAATAGACAGCTGCATAGGCATATAGTTATTGATGTTGTGCATGTCACTCCCTCTTATCCTATTGGCTAGGGCTAAAAGACAAACATGTTCTTTGTAAGTAAATAATGACATCTTACCCTATGGGACTAGCTCAAGTGGTAGACCACCTGACCTAAAGTCAGCATTTCAACAGTAGGGTAGGGTTTGACTCCTATCGATAACATATTGGAGCTAGGCCTCCCCAAGCTAGAGTTTGGGCTCTTGATGAACTAACTAGGAGGCTAGTAGTGGGAACATGGGGTGTGGGGTGTGGGGTGTCAACCTTGAAAGTAGTGGGAACATACACTTCATTGTAACAATCTTCAACTTTAAGCATCGAGTACTACAACTCTAATTATTACCACTTTTTTTTTTTTTTTTTGAAGAAAGTTATCACCACTTTGATCATAGCGTTTCGCTATTTTCTTGATCATCCATTGTTCTTGGATCCTTGGGCTCAATCTCTTTCCTTGATATTGGGCAACCAAATCCAAGATCCAACCTCCTATTTCATTTTTTTTTTTTTTGACATGATATATAAAAAATAATTTAAAAAAAAAAAGATAGAAATTACACAAGAAAGGAAGATCATGTTTTAAAAAAAGTATACCAGAAACAAGAAAAAAAAAACATAAAAATCTAGATCAACACCTTCATATGAGCAAAGATTGAACACCATCAATTTCTCAAACACATGCAATCCCAAATATAGTGAGACATAAAAAAAGAAGTCATTCAAGTAAGAGTTAGGCTCCCAAGCAAAGGTTTGAGTAAGGTGTGACTTAGACTCCTTGTACGCACAGTAACATAAAGAGTTGACTGAATGAAAGACTGCTCATGTGACTCTGATTTACATCCTCTAGTGACTCTTGGGATCGGAAACGAAAGAATATGATTAATATGACGTAAGTTGAGAGATCTGATCTATATATTTTAAAATAAAAAATATTTTTTAAAAACAAAAACCATCCAAACCAATAAACCTCAGACTAACATTATTCTTCCCAAACTAACATTATTGATTCATAGTTCAAGTGGTTTGAACTATGAAGCATGAAAAAGATGCATGCAAGAGGCATGCATGGCTTTCATAGTGTCCTTGCTCCTCAGTCCTCACTCCAACTTGAAGGATATGAAGTTTTATAAAATGTAAATGATAAAATCAATTAATACCTTTTACTAGCTTGCAAATGCCATTTATCTTATAAATATTGGTTTGGTGAAACTATAGTTACATATTCAAATTTTATTAGAAGAATTTTAAATAAAAAATTAAAATTAAAATTTTTCTTTTAGCGTAAAATTATAACTACTTTTTAAAAATCAATTAAAGCACACCACGTTAAACAAGAAAACATTTATTTTTGAAAAAACTTAAGTACATGTGATGTCATTCATTTTTTTAAAAAAATCTTTCTCATTATTTATCTTATTTGTGACTCCCTAAATTTATTTTTCTCTTTGGCAGAAAACAAATGAAAACAAACTCATATATACAAGTATAAATATTATAATTTATTTTCGCATTTTTTATTTGATAACTCACCAACAATCCTTACTAATGAAGTAATGATTTTATATCCAGAATTGCTTGTGCATTGTTGCTCTTTTAAATGAATTAAGAATTTTAAACTAGACATTGTGATAATTTTATTAAAAAGAAAATAAAGAAAAACATACATCAGCGAATACCATTGCTCCCACGAGTTGTTATACCATGGACCAGGGTCCACCTTACAAGGTGGATCCTGATCCTAAACTACGTATAAATTTGTGTATTTTTAGTATTGGAATTATGAACTTTTAGAATATAAATTGTGTTTTTAAGTCAAAACACATAACAGTTGTACTGTTGTAGAAGGGAATTTGTGTATCTGTTAATATTGTGTAATTGCGAAGGGAACTTGTGAATACAAAACAAAGTAATCAATTACATATATGTTAACATTGTGTGTTCGTAGTATACAAATTGTAAATTTTTAAAAGGTAGTCTGTAATTGCATGGTTGCAAAAATCGCGCTTAGGCGCCGATTAATCGGTGTCTAGGCACTAGGCTGCGGCCAGCCGCCTAGAAATTTATATCGTGGACCCTAATCCACGATATAAATTGTCATATTTCGATACAACAATTATACTGTGGATCGCGATCCACAAAGCTTTGCGGACCATAGTCCAAAACGGCAGACACTATAATGTATCTAAACTGACACTGTCTCACGTATTATTTTTATTATATTATCAAATGAAACTGCAATTGAATTGAAATGAAACTGTAGTTGTGTTAAACTGAAACTATAGTGTATACAAAATGAAACTGAATTAGAATTTCACATATTTGAGTCTATATTGTCTAGCGAAACTGTAGTTATATCAAAATGATACTATAGTTGTGTTGAAATGAAACTATAGTGCATATTTGATGGGCAATTTATATCCTGCATCAGGGCGCGCATTGCATTGTGCGCCCTGATGCAAAACGACGTCGTTTCAGATTTATTTATTTTTTTGAAATTTCGCTACCCTGTGTTGGCGGTTAATTTTATTTTTAAAAAAAATCTCATGTTCAAAAATGTACATAATTTTATACTAGAATACACATAATTGTATACATAAATGTACGTAATTGTATAACAAAATACACATACTTTTTTTTTTTTTAAAAAAAAATAATACATATAATCTAACATAATACATAATATACATAAACTTTTAACATAATAAACATCAACTCTTAACATAATACACATAAATTTCATGTTTCGGATGTACATAATTGTATAAAAAAAAGATGTACATAATTATATAAAAAATGTACATAATTGTATAAACAAATACACATAATTTATAAACAAATACACATAATCACGTCAACTCCCTACATAACTTACCAAAACGACGTCGTTTTGGGAGGCGTGGGGCGCACAGTGCTATGCGCGTCGTGGTGCAGGGTATAACGATTGTATTTGATGCCTCGACCACAATCCATTATGGACCGGGAACGGTATAATTTGGGCAATTATTGTGTGGACCATGAATATCAGGTACATTTTTAATATATTAAAAGTACATATTTTTGTACTGAATGTACATTATTTTTTTTACTAAAGGTACTTAATATATTAAAAATATACTTTCAAAAAATGTACCTTATGTACATAAATAATGTTCTCTTAGTATATTAAAAATGTACTTTTTATTTATGCTCCACACAACCATGGTCCATGCAATAATGATTCAATCGTTATGCGTTGGACCCGTGTCCAGCATGCTTGCTGGACACGGGTAACAGTGCCGTTAGGCACTGTTATCTCTTTTCCTTCTTTTTTTTTTTTTTTTTTTTTTTAAATTTCAGACTGCTTCGTTATATGAGTATATGTTCATAATTTTGTTACTATATGTTAATAATTGTACATTCATAACTCCATAACTGTACGTTCATAACTCTATAACTGTACATTCATAACTCCATAACTGTACATTCATAACTCCATAATTGTACATTCATAATTTTCGAAGCTCTATGTTCACAATTTTAGAGCTCTATGTTCACAATTTTAGAGCTCTATGTTCATAATTTTATCAGTATATGTTCATAATTGTAAGTTCATAATGTTAGAGCTCTTTGTTCATAATTCGATCAATAACTGTACATTCATAATTCCATACTGTAGATTCATAATCTCATAACTGTAGATTCATAACTCCATAACTGTAGATTCATAACTCTATAACTGTACATTCATAACTCCATAACTGTACATTCATAATCTTCGAAGCTCTATATTCACAATTTTAAAGCTCCATGGTCATAATTTTATCACTATATATGTTCATAATTGTAAGTTCATAATGTTAGAGCTCTGTGTTCATAATTTCATAATTGCATAACTGTACATTCATAACGGCATAACTGTACATTCATAATCCAAAAAAAAATAACGCCGTTAACGACAAAACGCGCACGATTTTTTTTTTTAACTAAATAACGCGTTTTTTTTTTTTAAACGACGTCGTTTTGGGCCCGTGTTCACAATTCATTGTGGACACGGGTCCAGGGCATAATTTGCGATAATGATTGGTATAATTTGCCTTTCGCCGCATAAATATGGGGCAAAACTAGTTTGCCCACATTTTTAACCAGCCCATATTCAATCTCCATATTTTGCCCATCACATCATGGGCTTTCGCAAATTTTCTTCGGATAAGATTTGCCCACGTGAGTTTTTTGCACTTTTGGTCAATGACAGTGCCAAAGGGGGCAGCTGCCCCCCTCACCCCACCCCACCCCCACCCTATATATAATTTTTGTATGTATATATAATATAGGTTTTAGTATTAGTATAAAAAAATTATTAAATGTT